CATTGCCTGCACACAGAAATAAACATTTTTTAAATTTTCGAACAGCTTATTCAATTTAAAATTACTACTAGAAAGGCCTGCTTAAATAAGTTCCAGTTCACTTCCATAAATGGCAAGATACCCTTTGTACATTTTTTTTCCAACTGTGTTTTCTAATACTTTGATGCCAATTAAATTTAAAATTCATGGGAAAACAGAACAAAAAAAGAAGTCTTGTCCATGAATGTGCAAGAGCTGCTACTTCTTTAAAGCAGAAGTAGCTTGATGTTGGTACCGCAGATTCTCAGCAACACACAACTGTCATTGCTAGAAGCAACATCATGTTTCAAGTTCAATCATAGAACGATGCCATGTTCCTTAGTGCTTACACATTATTATCCTAATGTTTTCCTCAAGAGATAAGGTGAGTTACCATTTTGTTGAGAAAGATAAGTCACCTTAGAGTTACAAAGGTTTCTAAAAGCATATTGGTTTTGTTTAATCATGGTGCCAAATGCACTCCCCGACGGCAAATTTTCTATTATCTGTTCATCTCTAAATATCATTCACAATGGAATCTCTACCAGTATTTATCACAGAACACAGTCCTTAACAAAGACAACAGCATGACTATTTATTTAGAAAGATACTACAGGCTTTCTAAATCTACTCAAGGAATTCAACTTTATTTTAATTGTTTTTTCTAAAAGATCCAAGTCTCTACTATTTATCTAGGGAAGCTTATAGCTGCAAGATATAACTTCTCACAAGAAGACAGTATGTTCATCACCATCCTGTTATATTTATTTGAGAGTAATAGGGCATAATGCTCCATATTAGGCTTCTGGCTAGAGGCAAACAGTGAGCAATAAAGACTTACAGCATGGTTCTGAACAAAATCCTTAGCCAAAATCCTCACCTACACAAACAAGAGAATTATAGGAACTTACATACAAGACCGAGTGATACAAAGCATGTGGTACAAAGCAGTAAAAAACTCTTACTGTGTTTCACACATACTTACATTTCTTTTCAATGAATTGGTGCAGCAAACAGGATTTTCCAGTTCCAGCATTTCCTATGACCAAGAACTTGAACAGGAAATCTGAAGATTGAAAGAAAAAAAATTATTAAATTGTAGTACATACTCACATTTTTGTCACAAGCCAGCTATTCTCCTTAAAGAGAAAGGAATAGATGACAAAATTAGCAAAATAACAATAAATCTCAAGAATAACGTAGTGTGTTCAATAGTGATGTTTCAAAGAATGCTGTTTGTTTATGGAGATACAAGATGGACAAAAAGAGATGGAAATGGCTGAATCTGAATTGAGTTAAAAATAAACCTGTTTGAAGGGTATGTAATCTACTAACTAGAGCCAGTACAGGTGCCCTATATAGTGATGCAATTTTTAAAAATCTCTACATTATTGTATTTTTATTTTTTTAAATTATTTTATTCACATTAATTTGAACTTCCCTATATAACTGTTTACTCCTTGTACTCTGTTTTAATTCATGTAAACCTTGGACAACAACAATATTTTTCTACAAAATTTAAAGGGAAGAAGTATTTTTATTCTGGGATGCCTGTTTTCACATTTCTTCCACATGGTAAATTAGTATACAGGTATTTCTGGCACATTACCTATTTATGAGCCATTTACATCAGTGTTCATTGGTAACACATGTATTCAAGATTTATGTTTATATTAAAACAACAGAACAATTTGTATTGTTTCAACAGATACATATAATGCTTTAATGTTACCTCCCTGAATTTGCTTTAGTTTCACTAAAGACTGAAGAAACCTTCCCTGTCTTTACTGCTCTCAAAACGGACAAACTGTGATAAGAAAGCTTACAATTGCTTCCTCCAATATATCACCACCAAGGCAACCCCAGTTCATGCAAGATTTGCTATTTATTTTTCTACCAGCAGCAGATTTTTTTATCTTTATTGCACAGTTTCTCTTATAAACACAGCAGGTCTCCAGAAAACATCCAGTAAGCATGCAATGAAAAGGATTAAGTTTGCAGTATCAACAAAAATAAGAACAATAATTTTTTTAATAGTGTTCAAAGCTGTGAAATGGGTTACATGGATATTGGCCATGGGGATGACAGAATAAAAAGAAAATTAGATTGTGCCTGGCAAGTCAAAGCACTAATACAATACTCTATCAGAACATCATTTGAATATTTAGTTTTAAAAATTGAATCTAAGATGCACACAAATCTATGTGCTCATTCCATTTCGTGCAGGAATTATTTGTTCTGTTGTATCATAAACACCCTCTAGCAATGGTGAAAGGAACAAGCAAGTTTCTCAAATGCTAAGAAAACGTCTACTGTTAAAAATTCAGTAACAAAATAGAGGGCCACAGGTTCTGGGAATGTCCACCACCATTTGTCTTCACTTATCTCCCAGATTTTATT